TCTGCAAAGATTGCAAATTCATTTATTTTGGCCAGGCAGTTGGCCAGCTTGTCTGACGTGACTCCAAAGTTGTTTTCTCATTTCACTTTACTGAAGTTCTGTCCACGGTTACACATTTGCTTTTTGGGTGTCAAAAGAACATTTTTCTGGAGATAACATCAGTTATTGCTCCCAGATTGCTTTTTCCAGGTTCTAGCGAGCACTGCTGCCCCTGTACTGATGCCCAGGAGTGCTGCAGAACACCAGAGACTCCATCTTCGTTGTTTCTCCAGCAGGTATGCACAGGAACTGACAAAAAGTTAATGCCTTTTATAGTGACATCACCCTGTAGGTGAATGAGAACTGCTCTTTTTCTAAGTTTTTATTGTGAATTGAGTGATAGTTTACATGACAGAACATTGGTTTTACGCTTATTTCATTGCAATGATTACAATCTCCTCTGTGCATCATCATTCAACAGTATTTGCATCTATTCCGTGTACACAAAAACACTCAGGAATATATAATCATTTAAACAACCGAAGGGCACATTCTGCAAGCCAGCACTCAGTCTTTCTCTTTCCATGAGTCCAGAGTCTTCAGCTGCTCTCTCTCTCCATGTTCCCATCTCATCTTCATTTCTGGTGTCGCTGCTTCTCTGAATAGGGTCCCACATTCCGCTAGTGCTCTTCTCCCTTGATGGTCCTAGGGTCCTCTATTTCTGGACTGTAAGATTAATCAGTCCCCCTTTTTTGTTACAAAACTTCTACCTTTACAGTTGTGACAGTTGCAATTAGTCATGATAACAATTATTCACTCTTCAATCATGAGAATCTAATCCCCATCGCCTTTCACCAGACCCATTTAGAAAAGATGAAAACTATTCATTGGGGATTCTACCTTCCCCCACACACTGAAACTAAAATCCTTCTTGAAAACTTGTAAGCTAGTCACTTCGTGCCTTTATAGCCCCTCCTCCCCCCATTTTAGGTAGCCAATGTCTAAGTTGCCCATCCCTAGCAACCCTGTATACAGAGATGATAGGATTGATAGTTGATGTGAATACTCCTTCCCTCTCAGTTGGTATTTTGAGCTACTACATCCATAAGTATAGGTCAAGTTCATTAAATTGTAGCAATTTACAATTGTTTCCTGTATCAAATTTTGTGTGTTCAATCTTCCTGTAGTCGAATTTTAATCATGAATGGGTACTATTTACATGTTTGGGTGGAGAACCTGCTCTTGGAGGTGGGGAAGGACTACAGTTACGATGCATCTACAACAGGAAGCACTTTAATTATGCATCATTCTTTTGAAGAGATCTTATCTCCACTGCATAGGTTCAAACAGTCGTTATTTTTCAGGCCTGTGCCAAGTGCTTAGGATACAAGTGGTCCCACAATCACTGTCTATGGAAGCAGCAGTCAAGAAATCAAATGACATATTTCATTGGGCAAATCTGCTGCAAGACTTCTTTAAAGTGTTAAAAAGCAAAGATGTCACCTTAAGGACTAAGGTGTGCCTGACTCAAGTCATAGTAATTTTCAATCATCTTATATGCATGTGAGACCTAAACAAAGAATTGACATCTTTGAATTATGTTGGTGGACTGTCAGAAAGATGAATAAACCTGTCTTGGAAGATGTGTAGCTAAAATGCTCCTTAGAAGCAGACAGGGAATCTTCATCTCCTGCTCTTTGGCCATGCGGGAGGACCTGTACCTGGAGGAGGACATGATGCTTGGTAAGGTCAGTGGAAAAGAGGACGTCTCTCCATGAGATGGACTGACACAGTGACTGCAATAATGGGCTTAGATGTGGCAATGATTGTGAGGATAGTGCAGGACTGGGCAGTGGTGTGTTTAATCTGTTGTACATTGTTCACTATGAGTTGGAGCTGACTCAAAGACATCTAACAATGAGTTTGGATTTTGTTTAAGGGGTAAGAGTGTGCTTGTTAAATGTTGTCGAGTCGATTCCGACCCATAGCGACCCTGTATAGGGTTTCCAAGGAGCAGTTGGTGAGCTTGAACTACCAATCTTGCAGTTCAAACAACTTTGCAGTCTGACACATTAGCCCACAGTGCCACATTCTATGAGGCTTTAAAGGAAGGGGTCACAGGCTGTGATTCATACTGCAACAAGAGCCCTCTGCTTGTGTGTGGAAAGGCTGTCAGGAGCAAGGGCAGGAGAGGACCAATGAAGACTCTGGGGAGGGATGACACATGGTAGGACTTGGGATGCATGTAGAGTCACATTGCCAGAGGCTTGCTACACTGGCACCCAGGTCAGACTCAGAGCAATGGTTTCTACTCTGCCTCTCCATCCTGGTTTGTGGAGAGTGTGGATCTGGAAAAGTGGGGCAAGGTGGAAGGGGGAAGGGTATAACCACAGTCAATAGATAAAGGTGTGAGTCCCAGTCTAAAGACGGAAGGCCTCTCATTTTTGCTGGTCTGCAGAAGCAGAGACAGTAGCAACCTCTGGAAAAGCTTGTGCTTATTACCGAAGGAGCAGCAGAGACATCAGCTATAGGTCAGCTGAAGTGTTCCTAGCAGGGGAGGGCATTTTTACATTGCAATTTAAGGCTATGAAGACATGCCCAGTTCTCATCTAACAAGACTGCTGCTTCTTCCCAGGGAAACAATCTGATGTGCATAAAATTGTACCTACTGGGTTGGCTGGCATGGTGCAGTTTACAGGAACAAAGTCCTGGTGTCCTACAGTACTAGTTTAAATGACACTGGCTTTAGCTGAGCTTATTAGCAATGGTGTCACCATGACATCTAACTTGCCTTTTCACTTTAGATGGGTCCACCCTTTCCATCAGGACATGTTTCATGCAATGCCAATATTCCCTTGGCCCCTGCTGATGTAATGCCAGGAAGATCCCTCACTAGCCAACCAATTGGGGGCATGATCCCAAATCCCTCATTTGAGAACTGCCAGAGCCAGTGGCTGTGGAGTATCTTTTTTTAACTTGTGTAAGCCTATCTAGAGCAGAAATTGGGTTGAAACATCCTGACTCAACCTGGAAGTAGCCTGGTCTGACCCCTTGGTTCTGCGGTTGGCAGTCCCCCGTGACCTTGGGCCAGACACCTAGTCAGTCTAGTCTGTGGAGGGCTGCATCAGAAGCGGGAGTGATGCCAACAACCCCACTCACTACCCAGGCCTGGTGGAAGGGGGACTTTGTGAACTGCTAGATGGTACAGGCATAGGTTGGTCTTTTATGATCTCGTCTGGTATGTACCATAAACATATGCAGAAAGCCCGAGAAGGGGGTGGGGCCGAATGTCTGAATACAGGGACCCAGACTTCTGAAGTGCACTAGGCTGGAGGACAGTTGGGAAGAACAGGTACCTGCTTACTAATGTCCTCCGAAGCAGCCCACGAGAAAGTACAGAACTCCACTGTGCTCATCTGGGTTTCTAATGGTCAAGCTGACAATTGACAAAGGTTTTTCAGAGCCAAGATTTCCAGAGTTACCTCCACCTGCAGGAGGATATACTGTCAGAGATGCTGCTGGTCCAATGGGTCCCTGCTAGCTTGGGAGCAGAAACACCAAGCCAAGTCCCTTTCTCAGGATGGGTGTTGATGGGAGCTACAAGCCACTTGTTCCCTTCTGAGTGGAAATGCAATGTTGGCTGTTGGCTGACTGCAGGTGAAGCAGTACAGTGTGACACAGTACAGCATGACTCAAAACCAAAGGCTCAGAGTCAGTGTCAACTCATGGTACTCAAGTCAGTGAAACTTGAAGTTTTCATCCGGCACTCAAACGATCCTTGTCCCCCCCAAACCTGCACAGGAAACAACCTTGCTGGGGGTGGAGGGTCTTTGCCAGCTGGGACTACCATCTACGTTGTTGCTAATCAGAACTCAGGGCGGGGGACAATTCTAAAGTGGGACCTGCACCTCAAAGCCACTACTCACCTCTCTGTAAGCAAAGCCACTGGAAGAGGTGGTGAGAGCTTGGAGCACAAGAGCCTCAACATGACTCGCCTACCACATACCACCAGACAATGTCTCAGTGGCATTTTGGTTCTGCTACCTTTTCAGTGTGGGAAACCCTGACTCAGGACTCACTTGGGTGTTATCAACTGCTTCCCAGAGAACATACCCCTCCGGCCTCTTCAGTACACTAGAGGGCTTCTGCATGTGAAGTCAGTGAAGCAACCAGAGTGGCTCAGAATCCCTGAGGTGACTAAACATTGCCTGGCTGAGGGAGGGAAGGAGCTGAGTGGCAATGGCCTGAGGAGCCCGCCCCTCCCAGGTGCTGAGGAGAAGGGAGCATAGGAAAGTTCTTTCACCTAAAGGCTTGTGTGTGTCCAGGTCTGACCTCACACTCCTGGCACTCTGACTGCTGGCCAGTTTTATGAGGGCAGAAGATTGGTTCTCTCAGGCTGAGGGGCTAGAAGACCTCTTTCCCACAAGTCCCCCTTCTCTCCCTAAAAAGGGGGAAATCTCTTGTGTAGCAGTCATCTTTGTGGTGGCAGTGGGGCATACTGGTAGATGGGTTTTAGGGGGCTAAAACAGCAATTTTTATACAAAGAAAATGAAAAGGAGGCTCCTTTCCAGTCCCTGGGCCCTCCTTTCATTATCTACCTGCTATAAGGTAACTACAACAAATAAGGTAACTGGACTGGAAATCACAAAGTCAGTGGTTCAAACCTGCCCGCCAGCCACACTAAGAAATCCTCTACAGGGTCTGCATGAGTCAGAACTGACTTGATTGCATACAACAAGGTAACTAGGATATTAAAGCATGCACGTCCACTTCAACTGGAGTGTTTCCGCACAATATGCCGGGGGCAGGCCTTCCAGTTTTTTAGGTTATTTTTATTTATTTTTTCCTTTAAAGTCCACTGATCATCAACAAAAACCCAGAAAATGAAACTAAGGCTAAAACAAATGTCCAACCGAAATCTAAGAACCCAGGGCTACGGAAGGAGGCGTGGCACTGGACTGTACGCTGGGGCTGGAGGCAGAGGAGACACAGGAGGGAGTGAGGCGGCTGGCTGGCTGGGGCTATGTTAGCCGCTGCACGATGACGGCATTGAGCAGGTTGGCTTCCTTCAGGGTCTGGCTCTCATCAGCCAGCTCTTTGTTTGGGAAAGTAGTCATGAGGACAAAGCTGGTGGCAGCCATGGCTGGCCGGGCATCCACGATGAAGAGCCGGATGTCGCTGATCCTAGTGTTGGGGGGGGTGAGTGGGGAGGAGAGTGAGCAGAGCCTTCTCAGACTGTCCACCCCACCCTCAAACACTGAATCACATCCCGGAGAGCCTCTCCTGCTTCTTCTCTACAGGGCAGCTTTAGCTTTAGCTTTTAGCTGCCCTGTGGAGAAGAAAAACTGACCTGCTGAAAACCATTCCAGGTAATTCCCCTTTCCCTTGGGATCAACACCACAGCCTGCCTAATTTTACATCAGCTTCCTTGTCGTGCGTGGTTCTTCACCCTCCTTTCAGTTGTCGGGCCGTGCTCTCCCATACCTCCTCCCCAACTGTAAATAGCACCTGCACAGCTGAGCTGAAGCCTGCTACTTTTAGCAAGAAAATCCTTTTCACCCAGCTGGTAAGCACTTGGGTAAGTTGTGCGCCCTGTGGTAGAAGTGGCAGCTACTCGCAACAACTGGCTTTAAAGAGTGAAAAGAAACTGAGGAAACTCCTTGGGTCATGGTGAGATGGGCTAACCCTCTGGAACATCAAGCATGTGAAGTGTAAGGAAGCATCCACTTATCAACTCTACCCTGGTAGGAACCCTGCCAATCCTCAACGACTGACAAACAATTCACGTGCCTCCCATGGGCTCTGGTTTAATTGGCCCATCACTGATGAAATGTAGACACCCTTCCCTGTTCTAGAGAAGAAACAAAAAACCAAACCAAGTGCACCCCATGTCTGTACTACACAGGGTTTTCAAGGCTCTGGCCTTTTGGAAACAGACTGCCAACCCCATCAAGATTCCTCTGGGTGAGTTTGAACTGCCAGCCTTTCAGTCAGTAGTTGAGTACTTAACCGTTTATACCACCCAGGGACACCGGTTTCAGAGAAAGGGGCTGTCAAATATTTATTGGCAACAAACTTCCAGCACCTCCTCTATTAGTCTCATCTTTCTGTGCCTCAGTTTCAGCATCTTTAAAGTGGGGAGTTAGCCTTCTCTGGGTGATTGGGGTTAGTACAGCAAGTAGTTCCAGAATCCTTAAAAGTCAGATCTGGAAGAGACGTAATAACCTGGTGTTTCAGTCCCCATAGGGGTGGGGGTGGGGAGGAGGAGCCATGTGCCAGCACTGCACCCCCACTCCCCTGTATCAATTACAGCAGTTCTGACTTTATTTGTTCCACATTTGGTCTTTAGTATGAGATTACCTTTTAACAAAGCCTGGTGGCTAAAACAAAAAAATGGGACCACAGCCTGAATCCAATCTCCTAATTTTGCAGGTGAGGAAATGAGTCCCACAAGAAGGGGGTGAGCAGTTACCGGACACACCTATAGGAGAGTGGGGTAGAGCCAAAGGCTTCCAATCCACAGTTCCCGTTGTTTAGGAGGAAGAACAGCTCTGGCTTTCTGTGCATTTCTAAGACACATTCCCAGAATAAGTCAGGCCAGAAAAAGCAAGGTACCTATGACTGTGGTTGAATTTCTGCACCAGCCTCCCGCCGTCAGCGAGCCGGATTTGGATGTTGGTGGTAGGCTCTGACTCATTGATTGAGATGGAGGAGCTGGCTTTGGCTTCGTTTTCTGCCTGTTGGGCTGGAGAGCTGGTATTCAATACCTGGGGGGCAGTGCTGAGGAGAAAGGACAGAATTAGGACATGGGCAGAAACAAGCCCCTAGCAGGGATGGAGTCCTTCTTAGACCTTTACTCAGCACGTGCTGTGCATTAGGTACAGTGTGTGCTGCTGCTGACACAGTGACCGAGACACACAGAATTTCTACCGAATGGAACTTAGGGCTCCAGCTGAACTCACCCCAACACTGAATCATTCAATATCACTGCCAGCTCCCTCACTTCTAGACGACTAACCCAGGATGAGTAAGCCAGCCACCTCCTTTCTCTGTGTCCTTGCCTGAACAAGGGTGAGAGGAGGGAAGGAGTGTGTTGTGCAGGAGAGCTGGAGTGGGGTATTCCAAGGCAAAGTAGCTGAGGCAGCCTGGCTGTGGTCTAGTGGTGAATGGCAGGACATCTCCCTGTGATGAATTTTCAAGCTGCCATCCCCTGTGCGATCTCACCTGTGTGTATCTCACAGTCATGCAACTACGGGACCAAGACTTCCAGAAGGTCAGCTAGGTGCCAGGTACTACAGGAATTCATTATATGAAGACGAACAAGATGTGATATCTGCTGGTGTTCAGAGCTCAGATCTTAGACCTGGATGAACTGGGGTTTGAATCTATCTACTCTGTGTCTCTGGCACACTTAAGATCACTTAATTTGAACAAGGGTAGGACCATCTACCTTTGATTGTGAGGACTAAATGGGAAAATGACATGAAACATTTCGGGTGGCTAATGAAGGAAAGTACGCCTAGAATCCTTAATTCTCCACACCTGTTTGAAGCCACCGTCCCTCACCTCTGAACCACTGATCTGTCTCACTCTCAGCCTTTCCCTTAAGCACAGATGACCAGGCCTAGACTTCTGCCTAGAAGAAGCCACTAGATGAGAGTTCGATCTCCCCTCTAAAAGCCTTCATCAGTACTGCAGTGCAGTGGGTTATTTCATATGACTCTTCTATCCATAGTCCTTGTAACTCCAACCAAACAACTTTCTCCCTGATGGATCTGGGTAAGAAAAGGTGGGAGAAGATGCTGATAGGATTATCTGATTCAGTTGTGATTGTTATCAGAGTTAACTGTGAACCTGGAACTCTAACGTGGGTTTAAAATGAATGAGTTAGCTCATAAACAGGATGGGGATTCCCACAACCATTAAAGAAGAGCCAAGAGTGGAGTGGCAGAGGAGCAGCAGAACCAAGAGCCAGAGCATAACACAGAGCAGGGAGCTTCCCAGGCCATGGAGCATGCAAAGTGGAGTGACTTTGGGCAGAAGGCTTGCTTGCAGAGTGAAGTCTCTCCAGGCACGTATTTGGGAAAGTCAGTTTGGCTGACCTACAAACTGGAGCCGAGTGCCTTCAGGGTGAGGCTTATAGTGGAGTGGTGTGTCCCATGGGCATCTGTCAGCAGTCCAGAATGAACTTTGTAACAGTGCTGGAGCAAGGGGCCAAGAGCCAGACAGAGACATGACTATGAGCATGGCAGGAGAGGCTATCCTGACTGGAAGAACTGTGCCCTGAACATTTCTGATCCTGCACTGTAACCTATTGTTGTTAGGTGTTGTTGGTTCCAACTCATGGTATCCCTGTGCACAACAGAACAAAACACTGCCCAATCCTGGGCCACCCTCCCAACTGCTGATACACATGAGCCCAACCTTTCAGGTAACAGTGAGCCCACTGCTGCTGCCACTGTGCCAATCCATCTCATTCTGTGTGTGTGTGGGGGGGGTCTTCCTTTTTTCACTGACCCTCCACTTTATCAAGCATGATGTCCTATTCCAGGGCTGGTCCCCCCTGATAACATGTATGAAGTATGAGAGAAGATGTCTGGCCATCCCAGCTTCTAAGAAGTATTTTGGCTGTACTTCTTCCAACACAGATTTGTTTGTTCTTCTGGCAGTCCATAGTCCTTCTAACATTCTTCTCCAACACCATAAGTCAAATGCATCAATTCTTCTCTGATCTTACTTATTCACTGTCTACCTTTAACATGCATATGAGCCAACTGAAAAAAAAACCATGGTTTGAGTCAGATGTACTTTAGTCCTCAAACTGGTATCTTTGTTCTTGAATATGTTAAAGAGGTCCTGTGCAACAGTACAACAGAATCTACCTAATGCATACTCGTCTGGTTTCTGGACTGCTGCTTCCATAAGCAGTTGCTATGGATCCAGCAAAATGAAGTCTTTGAATCGTCAATCTTTTCTCCATTCATCATGATGTTATTTATTGGTCCAGTTGTGTGGAGAGAAAACAAGGACAGCAAGGCTGGTTTCACTGTCCAGATCCTCATAAACAACAGCCTATTTGTCTCTAGGGTCCTGTGTTCTGAGCTCTGACCTTGTTCCTAATGAGGCATGAGTGGCTAGCAAGGAGGCAGGGGATTCTAGGAAAGGGCCAGCCAGAAGCTCATGGGCATGGCTGCTGGTAGATCAAGTTGATCCCTACAGATGTGGTGAGGAAAGCAAGGGCAGGAGCCAACTTGAGTGCTGCCAGATCTAGAACACAGTCCCAGCTGTACTACATACCAGCCACATATCCAAGGACAAGCCCTTTAATACCCGAGAATCTCAGCTTTCATCTGTAAAATAAGGATTATAATGGTGAGGGTCACTAGGCTCTAAGAAGGCTGGCCTAGTGGCCCACGAGCAGGGCAAAAGCTGAGTGGTACCCTGAGAGAAAAGTGGTTTACTTATGGGCTAGCCAGAGGTCTGATGGGAGAACTCTGCTTATCAGAGAGAACAGTGATCATAACCAATCCTCTTAGGGGCAAAGGTAAGACCAAGAATACATGTTGGCAATTGGTACAAGTGAAGTCAAGAGGACAAGGCAGGAAAAAGTCATAAGAGGTGACTGTATTAGCAAGGTCAAAGAAGCCAAGCTGTTAAACTGCCTTAACAGTGGTGCCACAGCCCACACAAGGAAAGCAAGCCTGAGGCTTCCCTGGACCTGAACAGCCTCTGGGAGGCCTGGTTGTACCATACAACCTGGAAGTCCTAATCCTCGCGAATCCCCACTGAGCATATATGTTGGTTTCACACTTAAGCTATCAAAAGCTATCAAGAGCCCACTACAGGGCTCTATATGCATTAGCTCATTAGTTAGTAATTTTCTTATCAGACTAATTTGTAGTTGAGGAAACTGAAGATGTACATTTGAAGTCACAGAGTTAAAAAGTGCTGAGATAGAGATTTAAACTCAGATTTGCCAACGCTGAAGCTCACATACTCTATACTCTTCCTCCCATCAAAATAAAATCGTAAGTGCTTTGTAAATAGTAAAGAGGTATGCAGGGTGAGAGGCACAATGGGTCTACTGGCCTCTGCTTACCTGCCCAGTTTCTGACCCTCGCCAGTGAAGGCTTTGAAGGCTCCCTTGGGCTTCACGAAGTCCTCATCCCGATGGTCTTCCATGTCCAAATTCACCTGCCCACCATGAGCTAACCGCCGTAGCTCAGCTGGTACCTCCCTGGAGAAGAAAAGGCAAGGCTAGGGTCCATACAGAGCAGTGATGGGGGAGAGGGGAAAAATGCCTCGCTTCCAACTCCAAGAATCACTGGGCTCCACAGGCTACCACAACCTTCTCTCTGCAGTGCTCAAGTCACTGCAGAAACCAGCTGTTTCACTTGGTCACTTGACTCTGTCTAGGGGGAAAAGTGGACAAAGAAAGTTGTCCAAGCAGAAGACAACGATCTGAGAACCTGTATCTCAACTGCGCTAAATCTGTATCCAAAAATATACCTGTCAAAGAATGTTATCTTCTGACAGCCTCTTCCTCTCCCATCTGCATCTCACTTACTAACATGGGTCCTGGAAAAGGGATTTTCTGCTCACCCTCTGCGGATAGACTCCAGAAACTGGGCATTAGATGGGTCTTGGTAGCTTCGAAGCTCACCATTGTCCAGGCTAAACCCACTCTTCCAGAGCTTCAACACCACATGAACCTGCGACAACAGGAGACAAACAGTTAATACAGCTGGGAACCTGGCAAGCACACCAATTTGAACCTGTTTTTACTACTTCACTTCTGTTGTTACTACTGAAACACACACATGCAAGGAAACCATTCAATTTACCAACCAAATACGCATTGACCTGAAATAAGAAAGCAAGGTTGAGTATGGGCTACATCTTGTCTTTGCCACTCACTAGAAAGGTGGCTCTGAACAGGTGATTCAATCAACATTATAACTTCCTTATCTGTCAGGCTGCCAATGCGCTTAGCATGTAGCTTGAGCTCAACTGAAGTACTGTGGCAAATTGACTCATGGACTATTTTGCAATCATTAATGATGAGATCTATCATTTCTGTTAAAAGTAACACCAACACTCAATACATATATGCAAAAAAAGGTCTGCTGATGCTGCATGCTGTAGAGTTGGTTCCAATTCCTAGTGATCCTGTCTGTGTAGCATTTCCAAGGCTATAAATCTTTACAGGAGCAGAAAGCCTTATCTTACTTACACAGAGCCGCTGGTGGATTTGAACTGATGATCTTATGGTTAGCAGCCCAACACATAACCCACTATGCTACCAGGTAGGAAAAGGTCTAGAAGATGGTAAAAAAACGTATTAGCAGCTGCTAACTTAGATGGATACCAAAACCCAAACCAAATCATTCTGACTCATAATGACCTTGTGGGGCAGATTAGCACAGCCCCATAGGATTTCCAAGGCTGTAATTTTTATGGAAGCAGACTGTCACTTCCCACTCCTGTGGAGCAGCTAGTGGGATTTTTACTTAAAAAGGATTGACTTTGTTTTAGAATAAAACCCCAAACAAACCCAAATTCATAGAAAATAATGGCCACAAAGCTACATAAAATGCTTATGGCATATTAAATAAACTGCTTAAAATTATGAACTTATTGGGTGGGGGAATCCTATGCATATGGAAAAATGTACTGCTGCCTTAGATGGTCCAAACCAAACCAAAATTGTTGTTTCAGGTCTCCTCTATTGGTCTGAAGGTTTAACTTTAGTCACACTTGTAACACCTGGGAAGTCCTGGTGTGGTGCTGAAAGATAAGCACTACACTGCTAACAGCAATATTGGTGGTTCAAAGTCATCAGCTGCTCCTCAGAAACCCTACAGAAGGTCGCTGGGAGTTGGAACTGACTTAATGGCACTTAACAACAGACCACCCAGATGGAGCCCTGGTGGCACTGAAGGATAAGCACTGGAATGATAACCACAAGGTTAGTAGTTCAAATTACTTGTTCTGCAGGAGAACGATAAGGTTTTCCGCTCTCACCAAGATTTACAGCCTCAAAAACCCTATACTGGGTCACTATGAGACAAAATGGACTTGATAACAATGGGTTTGTTGTTCTCCTGGGATAGCACCCAGGTACACCTATCCCTCTGTCTGAGCTGCTGGAGATGCTGAGGACTTCCTTGTCGGTTCCCTCTCTGTACCCCTTCTCACCAGCCTCCTTGCCCTTTGATTCTCAGATAACCCTCCCTGTTCAGGGCTCATAGCAAGGGCATTGTCTCTGACATCCTCACATCACTTCACATGACAGCTGGGACCAGCCCCTTCTGACCAGGAGCTTCCCCAGGGAAGGCATATGCACACTCACATCTTGGCCAGAATGCCGTCTCCTTTCTCCTGCCACGTATGCAGATTCTTCCTCTGGTGCTGCCCCAAGGCGGTAGCCACCCCCTGCAAATGGCTACAAATGACAAGTTCATACACATTTGAGAGTTTGCTCAATAGCGGTGGGGTTACTTAGGTAACTGGGCGGAGGACAGGACTCCTTACCAAACTTGTTAAATACTAGATGCATTCTATTTGGCTATCAAACTCAGTGCCAACAGGCAGAGGCAGTACCATAAATGAATTAAGTGGCCAGGACTGGGGAAGAAACTGGGAATGGGAACCCTGTCCAGTTACTCACCTCTAGTCAATTGTGACCATGGAGGAATTTGGGTGCAGGATAATAGCAAAGATATTTTATTTTCTCCTCAAAATCCAGAAGCCCAGATTTTATGTTACAATAGATGGTTTTTGTTTCAATTAAAACAATGCACAACACTAAACAGGCTGAACTAAAATGTCAAATGGAACATGTGTGCAGAGACTGATCTAGACCACAGATCACAGGTTTAACCACCACCCCAAATCTTGGTTTTATGTTAAAGCGTGAGAGAAACTGCATTTCTCTTCAACATAAAAGACCAAGGAAGCAAATAAAAACTGCCAACACAAAACCAGTCATTACTGCGGTAAAGAATGAATGCCTCCTTCCTGACTAAGGGACCCCAGTCCAGGAGGCAGAGACAACAGCCCTGTGCTCACTCTCGGTTTACTGGTCTCTCCGGGGCTCTTGGTCACTCGCTCCACGGCTACGGCTCCATGCTCCTTGGCACCTTTAAAGAGATCATCCACCAGCTCGTTGGGACTTTTCTTCCGGGGAGGTCCAACAATCTGCTGTCCACTTCTCTCTGAACCCCCAGCATAAAACCTGGGCAGAAAATACACCTATAACACCAAATGTCCTTGGAAAACACAAACAGAGCATGCAACAGGCTTTGGGTTAGGAGCCAGGCACACTAAGGTGAAGGGCACAGTGCCCATCTGTGGGAACTTACTGTCTAGTTGGAGACATTTGTAAGGATGCAAGCAAGTTTAATGCAGTATGAGCAGCAACAGAAGTCAGTGAAGGGCACATTGGGAGCTCTGAGCTGTGGGGTCATCCTAGAAGAGGTGCTGTCTTCTGGGCTGAGTTTATCAGATGACCCGATTTGGAGGAGGGCATTCCAGGCATCCATGGCAATATGTCAGCAGAGCAGAATCCCAACTGGGACTCTCTATCAGGTGGCTAGGAGATAGCTATTCTTCTCCAGAAGGTAGCCACTACAGTTAGTCTGAAGCAGCTACCACTAGTTGCTAGGGTTAATGGCTTCAGTGATGTGGTTAGTAGAAACAGCTAAGCTCCAGTCCTGACCCTGCCACTGTGTGACTCTGGGCAATCCAGTGTACTGCTCAATACCTCACTTTCTTGTCTTTGAAATGGGAGGGAAGGACCATGCCCTACCTACCTGCTCCTTAAGTCAGAGCCATGAGGTTCAAATCAGCGGATGTATGCAAAAGAACAAGCAAAGAGTAATGCACACATGTAAGGTGGTGTGATCTGGCAGCACAGGCTCATCCAAGCCTGACCTCATCCTACATTGGGGGTACTGAGGAGAGGGCAATGGAGACCACTGCAGAGGCTCCAATCTCAAGTACAAGTCCTAAGACACCCACATTGGCCTTTACAATGGCTGAGCATTGCTTGAGATTCAGTCAGCACTAGGATCTGAAAACCAGTTGTCACACAGTCTGGCCAGCTGCCTCCTTATCATTCCTACTGACCAACACCTCTTGAGAGAGGAAGAATTGAGAACCTGTAAAAAAAAAATAGCCCTAGCCTTCTACTTCCTGACAGTCACCCACCAGGTGTGAGGCAAAGCCACAGCCTTTGGTGGAGACAGCATCAGTAAGTAGTTTCTGGTCTGTAATGCTGCCAGGCCATGGAAGTAGTGGGATGTGAACTAAAGGCAAGCTATCACATGGAGGACGGGTCATTTAGGACCTGGGCATCACATTTGTGATGGTACTGCTTTTCACTCAAGGAGTAGAAATCCCTAAATGAACGTTTACTCCTAGACCTTTACCTAAAAGGTAGGCTTGGAGGCAGTGGGGAGGTCACAATATGGATGCAAATAGAGCAGAGGGTGTGCAGTTTCTCAGTGCACTCCCCAAAGAATGACCAAGATAAAGTAACTGCCTTTCCATGATGGTAATTATGCAGTGTTCCTCAGGAACATTTCACAGACCAAGGCAGATCCCATGGAGAAGCAAACCTGGTAAAATGAGACTAGAGCTGTTCATTCCAGGTAGATGAATGGACTGTAAGGATTTTATTAAGGGATCTCAAAGGCCTACCTTAAGAACTAGGAGCCTGTGGATATCGATCTCTAGAAACTATTTTAACAATCTAAAACATGTTCTGAGATTAATACAGAGATGCTCACAGCTTTGGAATTTACAGTAGTAAAATAATGGAAACAATTTAAGCATTGGACTTTTCATATAATGGGTTATTTAAACCACTGAATATGCTTATGAGGAACTTTAAATGACATGGATATAACATTAGGATGTAACATTAATCCACAAAACAAGTTATTTGTCACCATGTAAAATATATACATAAAAGTATATTTATACACAGAACTAAGATGAAATGGAAATAGGCCAAAATGGTAACTATAATTACCAAAGGGTAGATGGATGAATGTTACACTTTTTCATCACACTATCATGTATTCTCTACAATGGGCACAAATTAATTTTACAGTAAAATTCTTACAGATGAGAAAAATGTGTGTTGTGTATTTATGTGTATGGGGGGAACATGAGTACACGCCTTCTATTGTTAATTACATGGATATCTTGCTTTTTTAATTGAAAGGAAAAAGCAGGAAAGAAATACACCAAAGTATTACTGACAGTCTTAATTATGAATTACTTCTCTTCCTGTAATGATTTTTTTCCTTTCTCCCATGTTTCTCAATAAATACATGTTACTCTGCTAACTGAAAACAAAGCAAAAGAGCAAAAAAAAAAAAAACAACAACAAGAAACAACACCCCAGAGTGCCACAAAAGAAACAAACATGGTAACAGGGAGCAGGGGTCATGCCCAGATTACTGGCTGTTCCTAGTGCACCCAGATTAGTCCACACCAGAAGCTGAGCACAATGACCAGACTCTGCTCTAGGTGAACTGCACATGAACTATGCTCTCCTGTCACACACTTACCTCTGGCCCTCTTCCTCCTCCTCCTCCTCGTCTTGGTCATGAATAAGGTCTCTGAAGGATGTCACCCTGTTATCACTGGAGACACAAAAAGGAGCAAAATGATTTCAAAAGGTGTTAAAGATTAATAACCCAATGTCAACTGCTAGAGAGTTAAGGGCAGACTGGGAGTAGATTGGGGGGGGGGGGGGAGGCAGGAAGAGGATGTGTGCGGAATAAGGTTAAGTTCCCAAAGTTTATAGCAAAATCATGTGGTTTCTCCCCACCCTCGACTTCTCTGAAAGGTCACACAAAACTGATAGTAAATTAGAAAGTGCTATTATGAGGTAAAATGGAATCTACTTCAAGATTTCCTGGGTGGGGAGGTGTGTGTGTGTGCGGGGGATAGAAACAAAGAGGTTTTTATTAGTTCAACAACTTACTACTGGGTAGCTACTTCTGTCACTGAAGTGTTAAACACTGAGGGAGTGCCTCTATGTCAGGTACTCAACTAGCTGTTAGATGATGAGATGATGAGACACAGTTCCTATTCTTGAGATGCTTACAGATGGGCCAGGAGACCATGCACTAACTGCTGTGCAGCAGGGCTAAGAAAAGGAAAGCACACAGGCTATGCAAAGCAGAGTTTCTTAATCCCAACAGGGTAAGGATGGGCGATAAGAAGAAAGGTTTCCCAGAAAAACACGGTATTTGGACTGAGTAGATGGTCAGTCAGGGAGATGGAGGGTGGTGGGACATTAGAGGAAAGTTGCATATATTGCATACCACACTAGAGGAAGGACAAGTAGTCAAGAAGCAAGAAGGCAATGAGTGTGTGGTGGCAGCACTTACCTCCTGCTGCTGCAAGCTAGCCATGAAAAAGTAGTTATCAGGAATACTTAATTTATTATTTACTATTTTACTATTTAAGGAGCTCTGGCAGTATAGTGGTTATGAGTTGGGCTGCTAATCTCAGACAGTAGCTTGAAACTACCAGCAGTTTTGCGGGAGAAAGATGAAGCTTTCTGCTCTTGTAACCCCTATACAGAGTTGCTATGAGTCAGAACTGACTCCACGGACCATAACCACCACCACCATTTTACTATTTATTAGGAATAGAAGCAGTATTGTGTGGGGCGCTGAGGGGCGGGCACAACTAACAGTGGGTGTGAAGGGGGCTAACTCTTCTGTCCTGTGAGGCTAATTAATGCCAAATCAATTGTTTCTGATGACACAGATAGTTCAGCATTTGACAATTAGCTGAAAGGTTGGGCAGACAGAATCCAGTCAAGGTGCCCTGAAAGGTCACAGCCTTGATAAGTCTATGGATCAGGTCTACTCTGCACACAAGCGTTATCGCCATGAGTGGCGAGCAATTTGACCGTAATTAACAGCAACAGGGCACTCACCATTTCACCAGTCTCTCCAAGTAAGTCTGGGACATGCTGAGTAGTTACTTGGGATTGTTATGTGCCAACAACTCGGTTCCAACCCATACTGACCGTGTATAGGGTTTCCAAGGAGCAGCGGGAGAGCTTGAACTGCAACCTGTGGTTCAAAATGACTTTGCATTCCAGCACATTAGCCCATAGTGCCATACCAGGACTCCTCTATTTGGGATAGGCTAACCTGTTAAACACCTTCAAACACAGAAGGCACACATGCTTGAGTGGATCACTTGTTCTGAAGTACATACATCCAGATTCTGACAATATCTACCACAGACTTTGGGGTTCACTCCAAGGTTACTTACTGCTGTAAAGCTGATTTGGACTCATGCTAATTTTGTAGGACAGAGCAGAATTGCCCCATAGGGTTATCAGATTACAACATTGTTCTCCCACTGAGTAGCTGGTGGGTTGGAAACACTGACCTTTTGATTGGTATTTTCAAAATTACTGAGCTCTTTAACCCTTGTGCCACCAGGGCTCCTAAGTGTCCATTAACCTAACTCACTCACTGCCACAGTGTTGATTCTGACTCACAGCACCCTATCTAGGGTTTATTAGGCTGCACATCTTTATAGGAACACAAAGTATCATCTTTCACCCATGGAGTACCCATTGAATTTAAACGGCCAAACTTGTGGTTTGCAGTCCAGTGCTTATCCTTCAGCGCCACTAGGGCTCCTTAGGTGTCCATTGTTATTATTAAGTGCCATCAAGTCAGCTCCAATCCATAGCGACCCCATACAGGGTTTCTGAGGAGCAGCTGGTGGGTTTGAACTGTCAACTCTGTGGTTAGCAATCCAGTGCTGATCTTATAGAGCCCTACCAGGTACCCATTTTTTGGTTCAAATCTCAACTGTGCCTACTAATTTGAGATCATTCATATGTTAATTAAGTCTTCATGGCCTCATATGTAAATAGGGACAATCACAGCTCCTGCCTCATGGCTGTCTGAAACCTTCTGCAGTGTGAGGCACAATTAACTACTACTTTTGAGCAGTAATTCTCAAAAGTGTGGTTCTTGAATCAGGAGTATCAGTGTTACCTGAAAACTTGTAATAAAAGCAAACTATCTGGCCCTACGTCAAGACTTCCTGAATGAGAGACTATGGGAACAGGTCCCAGCAATCTGTGTTTTAAGGACTGCTCCAGGTAATCCATAGGAGCTCTGGTAGCACAGTGGTTACGAATCGGGCTGCAAATTACAAGGTCAGCAGTTCGAAACTACCAGCTGTTCCGCAGGAGAAGGATGAGGCTTTCTGCTCCCGTAAAGATTTACAGCCTCAGAAACCCTGTGCAGGGTCGCTATGAGTCGGAACCGACTCCACGGCTCATAACCACCACCACCACCAGGTAATTCCAGACCTATACTCAAGTGTGGAAACACTGCTCTGGAGTAATTACAAATGTCAAAATACTTTGTCTTATGGCTTCTACAGATTAACAAAACGTTGCAGAAATTTCTTTTTGGCATCAAAATTGTACATAGTACCTGAAGGAGTACAAAAGTCCTTAGCTTACTTTTCTGTTTTTAATATGATTACTTTAACTTTATGACAATGTCTCTATGATGATGGAATATGATGTACCTGCACAGTCCAATACAGAAAGTCACGGGCTACATGTGACTGCTGAGCATTTTAGATGCTGCTAGTGTGAAGAAAAAGCTGCTTCTTTTATTTATCTTAATTAACTTATACACTCATGCAAGGTTCATGGTTACCATGCTAGATAGTGCAGCTCTAAAGAGCAAGACAGTAATGGTTCCTAAAATTCTCAGAACATACACTTTGTGCTGAAAGGAAAGAAAAGGAAGAAATTAGCAACTACTATATTAATCCTGTGCTGGGTACAGGGGTGGAAGGGTCACATGGGAGAGCAGCAGCAGCTTTGGGCTCAGACAGATTCGGGATTCAATGTGCCCTAACGGTAGCTGTCAGTTACTCACCCTTTCTAAGTCTTAGCAGCCTGTGAAATGGTGAGCGCTCAACCTACTCCCAAAGCCATTGAGAAGTTCAGAGAAAAGACAGCGAGAACATCTGGCAAAGCTGGACAGATGGTTATGCTCCTGAAAATAGTCCTCTCCTTCGAGGAATTTCCAAAATACAAAGGTAAGTGTCAGGAAAATAGTTTCAAGTGAACACAGAAGAGATATCTTTCCATATTACATAGACATGGGCCAAAGAAGTGAATGAATGATAGTTGTGGCTACTGTTCTGGTGAACAAGACTGTGGCGAGACATATCTAAACCTGGAAGATACTCAGGGATCTGGATGGGTAGAAGCAAGAGAGGACATGTCCTGACAGATGAGAGGAACAAACACAATACGAAAACCAAAAATAAGGCATCATTGGAATATTGATTCCAACAATTTGGTTGAAACAAAGAATTCAAGACATGAGGAAAAGGAGTATGACTAGGAGTACAGGTTCAGCGCAAACTCTAGAGGCCTAAAATGGCTACAGGGAGAGGCAGTACACAGGGCTGGCTGAGCTAGATGCTGGAAGCAGAAGCAAACTTTCATTTAAACCTGTTTTACTAACTGTGTGACCTTGGAAAGATCTCTTGTGTAATATGAATAACGACACTACCCACCTCAAAGGGTTGTTGTGAGGACCTAGCCCCTGTTAAGTGCTCAACTGATAATGGGTATTATTGAGGAGTTTACAGACTTTCACCTATAGCAAGAATTAACTTTTTTCTGTCTCAGAGTTCACTGATAATCTGGTAAACGCTATCTATGGACTCTGCCAGGAAAGATACTTGTGATAGGCACACAAAATTTTGCCTCTATTTCAGATCATTTACAGACCAACTCAAGTCCGTTCTATAGACTACCCTCTAAAATTTCAGGGGTCCTACATTAAGAACCCATTTTAGAGTCAAAAGGAGCTCACTGATAGAGAGCTGGTAGCATAGTGGTTATGAATAGGGCTGTTATCCTCAGGGTCAGCCATTCGAAACTACCAGCTGTTCCAAGGGAGAATGATGAGGCTTTCTGCTCCCGAAAAGATTTACAACCTCGGATACCTTGTACAGGGTCACTGAGTTGGAACCGACTCCACGGCACATAACCACCACCACCATGTGGCAAGAGTGCTGACACGGACAGGTAGTTAGGAAAATCATAACTGGAATAGGGAAGTCCCGTATCAGACTGTGTCCACAACATTCAGGCAAAGTAGGCCCAACCCCACAAAGAAGTGTCAAGTGCTAGGCCAAGTTTGGCTTCTTCTGACAATACAGTCAGCCTTTTGGTGAGGGACAAGGACAATGAAGTAACCAACGTTGTCCTCTCTCCCCTTTCTTAGTGCTAAACTCTCGTATTTCCTTGATTCTTTTACTTTTATGTCTATTTCTTAAATATATGCACTTTTGTGGACTAATTCAGAAAATACATAAGAATGGGGAGGATGAGAATAAAAGCTAAGAATAACAAAATGACAATAAACCAAAACCAAACCCACTGCCACTGAGTTGATTCTGACTCACAGTGACCCTATACAGTTTCTGACTGTAAATCTTTATGGGAGCAGGCAGCCTTTTTCTCCTGCTGGTGGATTTGAACCCCTGACCTTGTGGTTACCAGGGGACCTTAAAAAACAAACAGAAAAAACATACCATTTATTGTAGTCTAGGGACTGTACAG